TAGGAATTTGTAATTAAATCCAATAAAAAATCTTTATCGATGATTTATTAAATTGAATATAATTTTTTTAGATATATAAATATATAAATATCGTTATTAAAGACAATAAATTTTAAATAAAATTTACAATTCCATAAATATAAATTATTTATAAATATTTAAATTAAAATTCTACATTAACATGGAAAAATATTAAGTTTTTATTTTATGATACGGAAAACCGATTTAATTTTTATTTAGAAAAATCTCGGATATATATCAATTTATATATTTAAATATTTATAAATATATATATATATATTTTTTAAAAATCATAATTTACTGAACAAATTTATTCCTAATTGAAACATTGAATATTTAAATTAAAATAGGTCATAAATATTGCATATATAGATTTAAATTTCTAATGGCATAGATGGATATGTAATGAAAGATAAATTTTATAATATTATATAAATATATATATTGGATATTATATATAATATAAATATTTATATATATATATATATATATATAAAATATAAATATGTGGATTAAATATATATGTTTACTAAATATAATTTAAATATATATAAAATGGTTATATAAATAAACAAATTTTTGGAAGATTCCTTATAATATATAAAATATATACATATAATTTAGATTATATGATCTTTAAAAAATTTAAATTCCATATGACGATCCATCGTGCATGAAACTGTCAATTTATCTATTTTTTCGTATAATGCTATCGATCTTCATGTAATATATTTAAAATATAAATATAAATATATTGGTTTATATTTATTTATGATAAAGAAAAAATGAAAAGAAAAATGAAAAAAATATTGATTTAATTTAATTGATACGGGAAACAAATTTACTTATGTACTTGTTTATATCCTGTTTTACGGATAATTTTAGAAATTTTCTGATAGATATTTAGATCTTCTATTAAACCATTATTTCCTGGTAGATAATAATTTATATTTGGTTTATATAAATATATATATTCATTAATATAATATATATATAGGTATTTTAAATACATATTTATATATATATAAACATTTTCATATTTGAGCCAATTGATAGATAGAGGAATGATTTATAATATAAAAAGATAGAGGATATTTTTGTTTTATTTTTTTCAACTTTATGATTTATATATATATTTTTATATTCTAAGATTAAATTTGAATCAAAAAATTTATTGTTGTATTAGAATATTTTAATTATAAGATATATTTATATAAAATACATATACATAATTTAAACAAACATTCTATTTAAATTCCATTTCAAATCCTAAAAGATATTTGTCCGTACGTATCTTTTGAAGATGATACCGAAGAAAGAGTCATTAATTTTATGAGTTACAATTCGAAATGAGTTTTTCAAAAATAGATCTCGTATTTTAAATTTTTTGAATCCTTTAGTGGTTTATCTTTTAAAATTGGTAATTTACATATATGATATAATCAATTTCATCAAAATAGGTTTTTATTTATAAAACGATAATACAAAATTTCTTCTTTTAATTTACCAGTGTTTTTATATTTGAAAGTCAAATGATCACAAACAAGAAAATTTTAAAAGATTCTTCAAATTTTGTATTGCATTTTTTTTTTTAAAAGATTCAATTGAATTTCCAAGGCAATGTTAAAATAACATTGTAATCCTTAATATTGAAATTATTAACTCTACTTTTATTTCTAATAAAATTTAATTATGAAAATTGACTTTGATAATTGTATTTATTCAAAATTATACCAACTTTTAAAAAATAATTTATAAAACTCCTGATCATTTTTAAAAAAAATTCAAACATGATAAGAAATATGTTTGGTTATAACAAATTTGTCATTTTGCATAACATTAGTTTTATCCTTTCATTAAAAAAAAAATTTGCAAAATAAATTGTGAATAAAAAATCAAAATAAAAATTGATGGTTTTCCAAATTTATATTTTAAAAATTTATATTTATAGAAACCTTTTATTTTTTCTTTTTTTTTTTGGTTAATTTTTAAATTTCCTTTTAAGTTTTCAAATTTTTCAATTCAATGTTCCGCATTGAAAGACAAATTTCAACTCTTTCTTGCAAAAATTAAAACTCCGGATATAAATTTGAAAATCAGTTTCAAATGATATTTTGTTACAGATAATTTCTTGATTTTTTCTGTATTATTTCAAAAATTTTATTTTGTTTGTTTTAAAAGAAATATATCAATTTCGGGCTTTATTTTTAAATATAATTTAAGTTTTCAATTAAAAGAATTCAATTAAATTTAAAAAATAGATGTTTATGATTATACCTCCCTCATTTTTAATCAGAATTTCAACATTTAATTTAAACATTTATAACTAATAAAAAAAAACAATTTTGATTTCCAAAATTTTCACCAAATTTGAATTATTTTTTAAATTTCATATTTTTCCTTTTACAAAAAAAATTCAAAATAAATTTTTTAATTTAAAAATATTTTTTCTTTAAAAGGGAGAACAAATAAATTCTTC